TTTTAATCAAAATCATTAAGTAACTAATCCAAGGTGTTTTTCAGCATTTGAATATATTTACATTTTTGAACTTCTGAAAGTTTTTAAACACATTATATACTACATACATTATATACATTATATGCATTATAGTAAATTCAGTTTCGACAATTATATTTAAAACTTAATTAGACAGTTTCTTATTACTTACATTATCAATGTTAACCCTCATATTATTATATTTAACCAATATATTTCGTATTAACCAGTAGTCTCAAATATATTGATATGGTTGTTGTTGTTGTTGTTGTTGTTGTTGTTGTTGTTGTTGATGTTGTTGATGTTGATGTCAACAACTGTTGATGATGTTGTTGATGATGATGATGATGATGATGATGATGATGATGATGATGATGATGATGATGATGATGATGATGATGATGATGATGATTGATATTCAATAACTTTGTATCATAGCTTTTGGATATACTTGGTCCAAAGACAGAAACTGACAAAGCACCAATTAAAAAGGTAGTTTCTATTTATGTACATTTATTTAGATTATAAAATGAAATTTATCCACATCCACACAGAAATAATGCACAAAAAAGTTCAAAACAATTAAGAGAATTACTAGAGAATTGAGCTTATTTTAGTTCTAAGAAATTTATATGAATTGTGTACAATTAAACTTATTATTAATTTGTCCTCCTCTTATATTTGTTTTGTTTTTCTATGTATTTGTTTATCTTAAATTTTTTTTTATTGTGCTATGTATTTCTATATGATTATTTATTTAGACTTTAAAAGCATTGTAATGTACAAATGCTTAATAATTATTTCTATCAAGATACTAAAATTTGAAAGTCTGACAAAATGTTATATTTTTAATTTGTTTTATTTTTTCATTTTTATTTAAAGATATGTATAGTAATTAATAATAGTAATTTTTGCATATTTTATATTTACATATTAGTTGTTTACTTGTTTAATGCGCAAATTAAGTAAAAAAAATTAAGTAAAGCAAGATGTAAAATCTTGAAATATTTCTGGTTTTCAAATTTTCTGTTTATTAAAAACCATGAACACTGTTTTAATGAAAGATTTAGTTTATCATATGACAAAAATTAATGAAAAATGAAACAATAAATTTATGACTGCAAAAATAATAACAGACAAAACTTAAGTATTTTAATTTATAGTTTGTTTTAACACCAGTCAATTCAAGTTTTATAAATTGAAAAAAAATAGTTGTGAAAAAATAATAATATTTATCAAAGGTAAAAAAAATATGTGAAAATTACTGAAGGTTCACAAAAAATATTTTTATTGATAATAAAAGTAATAATATGATTTTATAATGAAGTTTAATATCATAAATTTTAAGATAAACAAATATTTTCTATTGAATAACAGCCATTAAGTTTTGTGATAATAAAAACAAAGTTTACAGTTTTTTTTTTTTTAAACTAAAAATTTAAAAACAAGCATTTCCAGATATAGCAATTTGCAATCACATAATTTGAGCCTTGCATATTGATTCATATTCTTTAAATCATAATAAGAATCATTTATTAAAAATATCACAATATTGCACATTTACTTCACTCTCAAATAATTTGTTTTGGTAATTTTAAACAATTTTTTTTTTAATTTATAAAACTTGAATTGACTGGTGTTAAAACAAACAATAAATTAAAATACTTAAGTTTTGTCTGCTATTATTTTTTTAAATCATAATAAGAATCATGTAAAATATCACAATATTGCTGCTTTATCAGTCACATTTACTTCACTCTCAGCATGAAAATCATGAGTCTTACTATTGTCTGCTTAAACTAAGCAGACAATAGTAAGAAGTTCAGTTTAAATAAAAATGCAATGAACATGGAAACAGAATGAATTTTAGACTCTAACTTTTGCATAAATAATAACAACGAAAAAATAGATGCAACAAAGATCCTATTGTTTGTATACTGTTAGTTTTTTTTTCTATGAAACAAATATATTTTAAAACAGTATACTTTTTTTGCCATTCACCTAGCCTGGTGCACGATGGAATGAAGGTTGCATGATAGCATGACTTAATAAAGGCTAAAATAAATTCCAGCATTTTCAATTGATATGGTTAGTGTTTAATGAGTTCCAGGTAATGCTTTTGTGTTGGAATTTTCTAGATCAATTGATTCCTAGGAAATTCTGAAATTTTTTTTACTGGTTTAGCCATACACACTCAACAGTCTAAGTTTAAATTTTACTTAGCACCTATTACTTTATTGAGTAGTGTCAATGCACTTTTAATGATTTTTGAATCAATTTAATGTTGGAGTTTGATATTGAATTATTAATAACGCTGTTTTCCGGGTCATCTTTCTGTCATGTTAAGATCACTGCACAAAGAAAAGAGTATTCATATTTTAAAGGCATCATCCGTTCTTTTAATCCGCATCATCCGACAGCTTAAACAGATATATAGAAATTTTTAAGAAAGCATATGGTTTTTAAGTTTACTAATAAATTTTTAAAAACTTTTTAAAATTAATTTTGTAGAATTCTATTAAAGATATTGTTTTAATAAAGAGTTTTTTTATTTGTTAAGGTTGTAAAGAAAGAAAAAATTGAAGCTGATAAGCCAAAAGAAAAAGACCATCCTTTGGATTTGGAAGCCATATTAAGTAAGCATTTACAGCAACAAACAGATAGCAATTTTAATGACCAAATAAAAATTAGATAGCAATTAGAAATTATTTAATATAATATAAGTATATAATATAATATAACTTTTATTATGTTTTATTTCCAGAAATGATCGATCCAAAAACAATATATTTGGCTGGTGAAGCTGCAAAGTTTCATAAACCAGGTATAGTATCCAAGTACCATGTTTTCATATATTAGGTAACCAAATAACAGGTAAAAATAGGTAATTGCCCTAGAACCAATTTCCAAAGGCATGAATCTGTTGCAAAAATTCACTCCAAAGGTGGACTATATTTTTTCATGCAGGTGAGAAAGGAGGGAAGTTTATTAAGAAATCTTTTTTAAGTATTTGATATTGTGTAACAATTTATATATAAAATCTTTAATACAGAATAATTTCTTTTTATCATATATCAAATTAATTATTTTAAAATATTTTAGTATTTTTTAGTTAAAATTTTTAGTAATAAATTTTTATTTTAGTAGTAGTCTGGTTTTTTTTAATTAGGTGAAAACTATACAACTGAAAATTATGTCATTACTCCAAACACTATGAAGCATATGAAAGAGCACTTAGAAAAATATGGCAATCAAGTTCGCACACGGTTTCCACCTGAACCTAATGGAATTCTGCATATTGGTCATGCTAAAGCTATTAACTTCAATTTTGGTTATGCTAAAGCTCATGGTGGAATTACATTTCTAAGATACGATGATACAAATCCAGAGAAAGAAGAAGAAAAGTTCTTCAGAGGCATTCGAGAAATGGTTGAATGGTTGGGGTTTGAACCATACCAAGTAACACATGCATCTGATTACTTTGATGAGCTCTATGACTATGCTGTTCAACTTATCAAAAACGAATTAGCTTATGTGTGTCACCAACAGTATGACGAAATTAAAGGTAATAAATTACCAAAAAAAAAATAATTAGAAAATATTTATATATTATAAGTATAGTTTATATATATAGAAAAGAATGTTTGTAAAAAGTTCATATAAGAAAAAGTTAATTTTTTACAGGTCATAATCCGCCTCCCAGTCCTTGGAGAGATAGACCTGTTTCTGAATCACTTCAACTATTTGAGGACATGAAGAAAGGTAAATTTGATGAAGGTGGTGCAATGCTTAGAATGAAGATGGTTATGGAAGATGGAAAAATGGATCCAGTTGCATACAGAATAAAGTACACCCCACACCATCGTACAGGCGACAAATGGTATTAAGCTTATGTTAAATATGTAGATAAGCTGTTAGAATAAGTTAAGTATACTCCGAAAAACACTTCAATGCTCCAAAACATTCTATTTGATTAGCATTCCATTCTATCAAAGTTCTATCTAAATTGAAAATGTTTTACATAAGAGATAATAAGATAATAAGAGATAAATCTTGTTATTCTATTTGATTTTGTGTATAATAATTGATTTCAATTCAATTTAATAATCTAAGAGTGACAACTAAATGTCCTTTGATGTCATCAACATCCTCCATTATTGTTAACAAAACATCTTCTAATAATGTCAACATAACATCTTCCAATGTCAACAAAACATCTTCCAATAACAGGCCTTGTTATGAGACAAAACATCTTCCAATAACAGGCCTTGTTATGAGACAAAACATCTTCCAATAACAGGCCTTGTTATGAGACAAAACATCTTCCAATAACAGGCCTTGTTATGAGATTTTCTTGCATTACTGAAAAGCCTAACACGAGTAAGTGTAACTTTACTTAATAAATGTGTTTACCTCGTTAAATGTTTAATTACTTCAGTTGGATATTTTTAATTATGTCAGTTGCATATTTTTAAGTACCGCATTATAATTAAATTGAAAAAAAATTTACATATTTTTACATAAAATTTTAAATACAATAACTTTTGCATTTAAACAAATATGTTTTCTAAAATTAAACGAGATCAATTTTCGTAACAATTTTTTTTTCTTTTTTATTTTTTGCTTTTTAATTTATTCAAATTAACTTTTTCGAATATTAGAAATTGCTTTTTGAAAAAAAGTTAAATAATCTAAATTCCGTTTATTAAAAGTTTACGAAAGTTTTTGTTGTCTGTTAAAATAATTTTCCAGGATTTTCATAGAAAAAAATTTCCGGGATTTTCATTCAGTCAAATACTCATTTATGTAAGTCTTTGTCTTTAAAAATAAAAATTAAAAGTCTTTAATGTTATAAAGTACCTTTAAATTAAACAATATTGTTATAAAAGAAATTATAAACAAAATTTAAACATGTTTAAAAAAAAAAAAGTTCTTAATTTTAAAAAACTTTTATTTATTTAAACTTATTATTATTTTTTTTCTTTCTTTAAAACATTTGTCTTGTGTTTAATTTTTTTTTCTTTCTTTAAAACATTTGTCTTATGTTTAATTTTTTTTTCTTTCTTTAAAACATTTGTCTTATGTTTAATTTTTTTTTTCTTTCTTTAAAACATTTGTCTTATGTTTAATTTTTTTTTTTCAAATGAGAGAACAGTTGTTGAATTTCTTAACGATCAAAAAATAAATAAGAAATATCAACTTTTTTTTAACATTTTGGTTTTAAAAAATCTTCCCATACTACGCATAAGCGATTATGAGTTGTATTATAACAAATGGTTAACTATTCATTCTATGATCGTTCATTCATTCTATGATCAATTCAAAAAATTAATGATATAGAAAAAACTTTTTTTTAAAAGCAAAATTTCAAAACTAAAAAAATCATCTTTTCATAAATTTGTTATATAAAATTTACTAAAATAATTATTTTAAATATTTTTAATAAGTCTCATAATTTTGCCTACAGGGTTGATTATGGTTTATCTGGCAAATAATTTATATACATTTATAAGTGCATTAAGCACTTTTGCATATTAGGACTTTCGTAACGAAATGAATAATAAATTATTTAACAAGGCCTGCATAATATCAACAAAGCATTTTCCACTAATGGAAATAATTATAATAAAAATAAAATTTGCAAAAGATTGCAATTTGCATTGTTTGAAAGGTGTTTTTTTTTTTTTTTATTTCTAAAAAAAAAAAGTTACAAGTCTTTTATTGGCTTTAAATAATCTAAAAAAAATAGTTTAAGTGATATTGTAGTATAGCTGTTTGTGACAATCAAAATATTAATAAAAATAATTAATGACAACACAACGGTTAATTTGTTTTAAAAAAGAAACTTAAAATCTTTAACTACTGATTTTCTTTCATTTATTTGTTGTAAAGTATTTATACTTTAGTTATACTATACTTTAGTTACAATTATTTTTGGTAAAGTTTATTTCTTGTATGAGTCTACTAGAAGTATGATCAATGTTAAAAGGTTTTATATATTTTTTTCTTGCAGGTGCATATACCCTACCTATGATTTCACTCATTGCTTAAATGACTCATTAGAACACATCACTCATTCACTTTGCACAAAAGAATTCCAAGCTCGTCGATCTTCATACTACTGGCTCTGCAATGCTCTCGGTTTTTATCATTCTTTTTCTTTTTTTTTTTTTTTTTTATTAGTTCAATTTTTTTTAATATATATATTATTTTTAAAATAGATGTTGGTTTTTCTGTTCAGTTGGAGTATATTTCTTTTATATAGATGTGTGTTATTAAGTTAATTGGTAGTATGTTTCTATTTTTATGTAGGCATTGTTCTGTCAAATAGCAGCCTTTTCTTGTTTATATAGATGTCTATTGTCCAGTCCAATGGGAGTATGGTCGATTGAATTTAAACTACACTGTTGTTTCAAAAAGAAAGATTGCAAAGCTTATTGAAAACAAGTGTGTTAATGATTGGGATGACCCACGTTTGTTTACACTTACAGCATTGAAAAGAAGAGGGATACCACCAGAAGCTATAAACTTGTTTTGTGCCCGAATAGGTGTTACAGGTTCTCAGACTGTACTGGATCCTTCAATGTTAGACTCTTGTGTTAGAGATGTGCTCAATGTTTATGCAAAGAGGTTAATATACTGAACTAGTTTTTTGTTTGTAGCAATCTTTGTTTATATATATATATATATATATATATATATATATATATATATATATATATATATATATATATATATATATATATATATATATATATATATATATATATATATATTGTTTTTTTTTTTTTAGAGTTATGGCTGTTTTAGATCCATTAAAAGTAGTAATTTTGAATGAGCCTGAAGAGCGGGTATTTTTTTTAATTGTATAATTTATTTTAGGTCATCTTGACTCTTTAAATTAAGAAGTTTGATGTTATTTATATGGTGTCCTAATCAACAAAATTTATTTCTAGTTGGGAAATCAAATATTTAGGCGGGAATGCCTTTTTGTTTAAAACTTTAATCAGGTGATCAAAGTGAGTGCGAAAAATGTAAACATAAAAACATATACAAAAGAATATTTTTTGTCTTATTTCTTAAAATTAAAATTAAATAATAAAGCTACACTTTTTATAACTTTTTTAAATTCAAAATGAAGTATATATTTCCAGAGAAAATATTAGGTCTTTAAAATTTTAGTTCATGTACTTTGTTTATAAGGAGCAAATTATTAAAAGTTTGCTAGCGAGAAAGTTACAAAAAACAAAACAAAAACAATAAACTTACGACTACAAAAGTAATAACACTTTAGTCACTAACTGCATTATAAAGTAATAAAACTATAATAGTGTTATTACATTTATAAAGCACTTATTACTTTTAAAGTTCATTCTTTGTTAACAACATTATTAATTCCAAACATTTATTAAAGTAGAAAAGCATCTAGAAAAAATAAAGCGGATATTCAAATATTATTAAAAACTTCAGGAACTTTCACATATCACTTAAACGTTATAAAAAAGTACTTTATAAAAAGTATAGCATTATGAAAAATGTTACATAAAAACGCGCGTTAATTTTAAAATCAACCAATAAAAAATTTTTATTGGTTAATTTTAAAATTAATGCGCGTTTTTACGGTCCATTAGTAATTTTTTTCATAATGCTAAACTTTTAATACGATACGTTTTCATAAAGTTGTTTGTCACGTTTTTATAAGTTACTTTAGTTTTAATATTATTTGAACATCTACTTTATTCTTTTAGATATTTTTCTACTTTAATTAAAATATGGGAATATTAATGTTGCTTGAACAAAGAATGAGTTTTAAAAGTTATAAGTGCGTTATAAAAATAATAACACTATTATAGTATTATTACTTTTGTAATGCAGTTAGTGACTAGAGTGTTATTACTTTTGTAATCGTAAGTTTATTGTTTTATTTTTTCGCTACCAAATTTAAGTTGATTCTTCCCTTAAAAACAAGGAACAGGGTTTTGTATAAACTAAAATTTTGAATACTAGATATTTTTCCAGATTTTGAGTTTTGCATTTGCTTAATTCAACCCTTGCTGTTACATTAAAATTACATAAGTAAATTTACAAACACATTGCAATTTGTATTTTTGCTATCCTCTTAAAAAAAATTGAGAAAAGGAAAATCATTTTTTTTTATTGTATACTGTTTTTTTTTTTTTTTGCTTCGCCTTATCTAATTTTTGTTGCTGAATGTAACTCTAAAGAAACAATAATAAAAACAGTACACAAATTATTAATTTGTTTTTATTTTTTTCTATTTCAATCTCTTTTTATTTTGTTAGTTGTGTTTTTTTTGTTTTTGAAACTTTTTCAGCATTATTATTTTGCAAACGGCCGTGTTCACGTTTTCTAAAATAGTGTAATCGCGTGTGGTCATACGAGAAAAAAACCGCACGCCTTTCCTGGGAAGGCTTGTTGTTATATTGAAGAAATGGTAAAAGATTACTACATCTGTCCAACAACATCTGTAGCGTAGTCCAAGATCAGCTGTACACTTTTGTCCAAGATTATCTATATTATTTTTTTTACTCCAACAACATCTGTTCAATATCATCTGGAAATTCAATGACCTCTAACAACATCTTTAGGATAATGTAACTTCATCTGATAATTTTTCTCCAAATCCAATAACATCTAGAAGAATTTCCTTTAGATGTAATTACATCTGAAAAAACCATATATGTAGTTACATCTGTTTGAAATAATCCATGTTTGTTTAATTTTTTTTTTCCAAATAACTTAATCTGAAAAAAAACCATATATGTAACTACATCTTGTTAAAATAATGTATTATTATTTAATAGTTTTTTCCTGATTTAATAGTTTTTCCTGAATTACATCTGAAAAAAATCCTGTAGTTTTTTTTGATATAATTAAAAAGATATAACTACATCTGTAGAATTCACAGATGTATTTGTGCAGATGTTGTTATTCTTAACATAATTTTTTTAAATCTATTTAATGTTAATGTTAATTCGCCTCCCCAAGGCCAAGAAACCCACTACAGCTGAGGAGGCTCCTATAATTTTGGTTACAACACTCTCTCAACTCTATAGCTCTGAAACACGAACCTTGAGAAACAAGGCTGCTGTGCAGAGAAACAAGTTAAGCAAATTTTAAATTGAAAAGATGTAACTACATCTCTGGTATTAGTATACTTTTTACACAGATGTTATTAGACATCAATGAAATTTCAGATGTTGTTGGACAAATGTTATTATACCTTTAGTGTATTTACAGATGTATTTATACCTCATTATATTTACAGATGTTCTAAGACAGATGTTATTAGACATAGCAAAAACTGATAATATTACCCTGACCCGCAGTAAAATTTGATAGAATACCATGACTTTCATAATAATATCCCAAAAAAGATCTATTAAACTTTTAAACTATGAAGCAGTTAGTGTGCTCCTGAAAACATTTATTGTTACACACATTTTTACTGTTAACAAAAAACATGGAGGCAAGTACAACTACTTTGATGAACTTTCTAAAGCAGTAAAGAAGTTCAAACTTGATTGGTTTTTTTCACTTATGATTTAATTTGTTTAATTCATTTCTAACTTTTACTTTAACATTTTGAAGTTGTTGGAATTTTTTGTGATGATTTTTTAAAATCACTGCTTGATAATCATCATTTGTTTTTCAATTAGTGTGTTGATTCATTCAGTTTTTTATGTTTATAATTATTATTGTTGTTAAGAACTAGTTAAATCTGTACAGATGTGTACTGTAAAGAGTTTGACTCAAAAAGATCTAATAAGACTGTTGAATATATAAATACTAATATTTAATGGAAATTTTAGTTTGCTGAATCCTGTAACAAACCTTGTCTTAGGTGGTTTTAGATCCATTTCAGGTTTGACTGCTTGTTTTTCTGTTGAAACTTTAATGGTAAAGAGATTAAGAGGAGCCATTGTAAATGTTAAATGTTGATGATGTTAAATCTAACAAATTTATTTGCACTATAAAACTATTTTATTTTTAATTACTATTATACACATGTAATTTGTTCGATGGTGCACGACCAAAATGCATCTCGTCCAAATGTATTGCTAATGCATCAAATTTAGATATTGGTGTTCCAGTATGGGAAGCGAGGCTCAAATTAAGTGATTGCGAATTGCAATATCTAGAAATATTTCTAGTCATTAAATTCTCAGTTTAATAAAAACCGTGAACACTGTTAATGAAATGGTTAATTTATGATATACAAAAACTAATGAAAAAATAAATTTACTACTGCAAAGACAATAAATTTACTACTGCAAAAGAAATAACAGTCAAAACTTAAATATATTTAATTGTTTTTTGAACACCAGGTAGTTTAAAGATTATCAATAAATAGAAAAGTTGTAAAACAAAAAAAAATAATTAATAATGGTCTGAAAAAGTTGTGCTGTAATTTAAAAATCAACCAATAAAAATTTACGCAAAAGCTATCTGAGCTTTGTTTGAAACAGTAAAATCAATTTTTTGTTTAGGGTGAAAGTTTGAGGAAATATTTATCTTAAAATTTAAATATTTTAAAATTAATTATTTGATAAAATAAATAATAATAATAAATATCTTTTTTAAAATTAATAATTTTTTTTTGTTTTGTTTTAAAATAAAAAGTTTAATTTATTTAATTTATAATAAAATATTGAGTATTTAATTTATAATAAAAATTAGAGTATTTAATTTATAATTACTAATTTCACAATTTCTTTAATTTAAAATATTTGATCACCGCTAATTTAATTTAAAAAGTCCTGAAAGACTGTCGTGATAAGTGGTTGTTTTTTTTAATAATTATATTGTATTTTATTGTGATTTATTTTTCTAGTTTTGCATGATGATTTAAAAAATGAATTAAATGTTAATGTTTAAATCATAATTTTAAATAGTAATAAAAATAATTGTAATAATAAGGTTTTATAATAAGATTTTATATCATAATTCAAGATCAATGTATATTTTTATTGAATCACAGCTATTGAGTTTAGTGATCAAAAGCGAGTTTTCCGTTTTTTAAAAAGCTAAAAATTTAAAGTCTGTAAGCATTTCCTGATATCACTTAATTCAAGCTCTGGGAAGATTTGTGATGACTTCTGATTCTTGTTGATGGAGATAAAAAACTGTCCTTAACAGCATCTACTGACTATCCCTGACTCATTGTTTTCTGTTGAACCACTGGTGCTACTGTCACTTTTGATGAGTGATTTACACTAACAGATGTTCAACATGTATTTCTAGTTTTCATATTTTCTTGAAAAGTTGCTTTGGCTTTATCATGCTACTGTCCACAACAGAACAAATGGAACTAGCCTACACACATAAACACAAAAAAAATTTCATCAATAATTCAGAAAATAGATTTTCTGAATTATTGATGAATTGTTCTGGATTATTAGGCTAAACAGAAAATGTTTGGGCTAACAAGTTTTCCGTTTTCTTGATCTCCATAACAAATGCTGATATTGATCCATGTTTGTTTGGAATTTTTTATTCTAAACAAGGAGCTTAATATTTTTACAAGCTTTATTCTTAGCAGTCATTGGGTTGTTTGCTTTTATGTGAAATATTCTAATTTTTTCAAAACTAGGTTTCCATCTTGTTGAGTTTTGGGACTTTTCTTTAAAAATCTTTATCTTAATGATGCATCCTGATGCATCATGCATTGTATCATGATGCAATGCATTATTTTGCAAGATATTAGAAAATGTGAGTCAGTAGGCAGTAGAATCTTTCTCAGTGATTTTGTTCCTATCGAATATTGCTGTTGATTTTCTTGTGTTTAATAATGTTTTCTTAGCAGAGGAACTAGATGTGGAATACAGAGCTTCTGCTTTTACAAGAGTTGCAGAAACTAAATTAAGTTATAAACAAATATTTAGGCCTAATTTAGTATTAAACTTTACATGTTTCTAACATGATATTAGCAGCTGTTGCATTTTTTTTTTTAATTAATAAGTTCACCTCCCTAAGGCTCCAGATGCTCGAACATAACGACATGAATATTGCTATTGTAAATAAAACTCTTAACTTAACAGCACTGTATCCAGCTCTTATCGAGCATAAAAAAGAAAATATAATAATAATAGCAAGTTTTTTTGCCAACGTTAGTTCCAGGCTCCACTAATGTTGGGAATGCTTTTATTTTTATTTTTTTGCTACTCTCTCAATTAAATTTAAAAAAACACAAACTTTGGAATTATCTTTATTAAAATTTAGAGTTGCTGCACAGTATTTCCATAGGTGTAGGGTGGTTTTGAACCCCAGATTTTAAGTTAAATTTTCTAAGACTAGTTTACTATCACATTAAAGTTAAAAATTTTCAATTTCAAATTTTGCATAATTAAAATGGTTAGATTTATTTTATTATTTGTTTAAATTTTGAATAATTAAAATGGTTAGATTTATTTTATTATTTAATTAGATATTGTTTTGATACAAAGATACAATGGATGAATAATTTTATATTTACTTAAATTTAGTATTAAATTGTTGAAATAAATTCCATTAAACTTAATACTGGGATTAGATTTATTTGTATCTAATAATGGTAATTACCTGATCAGTTAGTTTTTAAGTTTTGCTGTAAGCCATAAAACAGCATTTTAAAAAGTTTATTATTTGAAATGTTTATTTCAATTATGTTCAGGTTTTTATGTTTTCTCCAATGTTAAAAATGCACACAAAAGCAAAATAAGCATAAGACTGCAAATTCTTTTGCATTATGTCTGGCATGTTGTTCTTTTCCATAAACTCTTTTTATATGGTGTATCTAAAACAAAGATATACAACAATGCCACAGAATGGAAAAAAAATCTAGAAAAGTTTTTAAAATTGTTTAATGATTCCTTTTTAACCACAGTATTTAAACTTGGACAGACTTAATGGACTGCATAATTATGCAGTTTTATTTTTAACACTTTCCTTCATTTCTCGTAACTTCTTGGGTACCACAAGCTCCATCCTTGGTCCTGTTTTTTTCCTCATTATTAATTATCTGATAATTAGTTAATTAATTACTGAATTAACATGAATAGTTAACATAATTAACATAATTAGTTAATTAATTATGTAACTCTGATTTACCCTTATTTTGTTGACGTAATTAATGGACAACCCCTATACAAAACTCCTATACAAAAAATGTTAGAAAAGTGTATAAATAAAGCAAAGTGTATTTTTCATTACAGTGAAAATGTTAACAAAAAAATAAATTTATTTTTGTTGCTGCTAGACTAGCTATTTGAAACTTGTAGAACAAACAATTATTTGATCTATAAAAGAAACAAAAGAAAGTGAAAAGAAAAAAAAGTAAATATTAAAATTTATATAAAAAAAGTTGTTAGAAAACTGATAGCAATTAAGTTTAAATTTCTACACACCCTACTACCCTAACGTGTCCCATTTAAGGCAAAGCACGCTGATATACTCTTAAGAAAGTTAACAGAGCATATTGGGGAAAAGGTAATGTTTATAGAACTGCCTTAAATAAATCATTTTTAGTTACATTAACCCTAAATATTATAACATATCTGCACAACTCAGTTCTAAATTTCCTGATAATACAACTATTTGTCATGGTTGTCATGACAAAAAAAATTATGGCAAAAGTCAGAATAGTCAGTTGTCATATATTTGGATTCTTCTAATGTCCTTTCTCTTCTGAGATCTAAAAATGCTTTGTACATTTTGTTCAACCTGCTCTAGCTACTAAGCTTTAGTCTCTGTTCCTCTGTCTGTTAAATTGCATCTCTTTTTTTTTTACATATGCTGATTAAGCAAGCTATTGTCATTCGTTCCATTAACCAAAACTCAATTGCATGACACATTCAAGTTTGTTTTATTTACTATAAGTGGTTCTTCAAACTCCAAAAGTTTTTATATAGTTTTCCTCCTTGAATATCAGTGCTTTGAATCTTGAATATCAGTGCTAATATAAGTTTCTCTTAACTTCTAAATAACCTTGCTATGCTATGACTGCATTTTTTTCTTGTTTTTTTTTTTTTTTTCACTTAAAGAAAACTTTTGCTTTTAAAAAAACTATTTGTTTTTATTTACAATTAGTACAACTTTATAAAACAAATATTTGCAATAAATAAAGTATCAATTCTTGAATTTGTATTATTCAAGTCATTATTATTTAAAAGTGAAAATTATCTAGCTTTGTTAAAAGTAAAATTAACTTGTTTGCTAACTTTTAAATCAAAAGTAAAATAAACTTGTTTTCAAACTTTTAAATCAAAATTAAGTTAAGATTTATTTAAAGATTATTAAGAAGTTGATTTGTTTTGTTTTTTCTAGTTTAAAAAAAGTCAAAAAACCTTTTTTGTTAATAACAAAGAATAATTTAAAAAGTTTTGTAAGGTTATTAAAAGCTTTTATTTTGTTTTGTTATTTAACAAAGCTGTTGAACTCAAACTTTAATCCAAGTCTATATGTTTAAAATGCGTTGATAAAATTATTAACTTTGCAATAACATAATTTTTTAAAATAAGACTGCATACAAACTTAAGTTTACAAACTTGTAAGAAAATTCAAATACTTAATGCAATACTCATAGTGATTGAAAAATATTTTGAAAATAAAACAATGTTTTTCTTGGTGAGATGGTGAAGAGATATAAGGGGTGGAGTGGCTTTAGTGGCAATGATATTGTGGTCTGAATGGAGATATACTGAGTGAAACAATGCTTTAAGAGAGGCTGTTGGAGTATTTTTGTTTTATATTTTAAATTTATTTATAATTTATTATTAGTTAAATATTTTTAAAACATAAAATTTTATTTAGGTTCAAGTTACTGTTCCAAATATTCCATTAGACGAAAAGGCTGGTACCCACAATGTACCATTTGGAAATGTTATCTTTATTGAAAGAGCTGATTTTCGAGAGGTAAAATTTTGTATACTACAAATCAAAAATCATTTCTGGTTATATCAATCCTAATTCTTACATTTACTCTGATCTTTTGGATGTCTTTATTTTGTTTTATTTAATATCCATGGTTCTACACTTGTGAGGTTTGGACAGGTTTTCGTGATGCCATTTTATTTAAATACAACATAATATAAGTAATTAAATAGTTAAAGCAATTTTTTAGTATTTTATGCCTTTACTGGTATTAACCTGTTTTGATGATCATTGCTTAAAGTATTTTCTTTTAGTATGCCTTTAGTTTTTACCATTTTTAGGCACCAAAGTTTAAATATTTTTAGAATTACTATGAAAAAACAAATAAAAATTACTAATTTATAAAAGTCAAAAAACTGTCTTAAATAAATCATTTTTCAAAACATAAACCTTAATACTATAACATATCTGCACAACTCAGTTCTAAGTTTCCTAATGATACAATTATTTGTCATGTTTGGTTGTCATGACAAAAAAAGCTGCAAAAACATGACGCAGTTAAGAAAAAAGTTATTTGTTATATCCATATTTTTTGCTTAAGATTTTTATTAATATTTAAAGTGACTTTTCTTTTTTTATATAATTTTCAAAACCTTTTTACTACCCGTAATAGTGAATCTAAAGAACACTATTTTGGAGTCTTTAGATCAATTTCGCTCATCAGCATTAACATGACTTCAGTTAAAAAGTTCCTTAATTTACTACTGATCCTAGTTCTAATCGGTTCTGTTGTATATTAACTATATATAGTTGTCAAAACACAATATTTCTACTAATTTTCACAAAAATTACTAGAATTCTAACCAAGAAAGAAAAATTATGGAAAATTGCCAATAAACGATCAAAACAGATCATATTCTTAAACTATAATGTTCATTTCACCTAAAAAACATATTAGTTTATAATCTTATTCAAATTTGGGCGAGTGTTGTGATTTTAAGATGATTTTAAAAAAAAAAAAAGAATCTTCGGTCTGGATTTTTTTGCTACAAATATTTATATTTTATGGTACCACGAAATTTATCATTTTAATATTTTTTGACTTTTCATAATTCACAGACCATTTAACGGAAATATGTCGTAGTCAACAAAATATCATACAGACGCTATAATATTTTAAAAGTTCCTTAACTACACCGAGAATTAAAAAAAAATTTAAATATCTTAAAAGCGTGTAATAAAAAATAATAACACTCTGAAAAACTATAATATTTTAAAAGTGCCTAAACACCAAGTATGCGCTGTGTATTCATCATTTTTTGTCAATCATCATTTTCAATGATAAATTATTGAAAGTGATGAGTTGCTCTTTCAAGTTTTATTAAATATTGAAACATCTTCTGTCATTAAAGTTTTCTTTTTTCAGGTAGCTACTAAAGATTACAAGCGACTATCGTGTGACCAATCTGTTGGTTTAAGACATGCAGGAAAAGTTATAACTGTTACAAATGTAGTTAGAGTAAGTATTTGTACATCATCATTTTTAATGTTTTTTTTGTTTTGTTTTGTTTGTTCCTTTAATTTAAGTGTTTTGTTTCATTAATTTTGTTTTGCATTGCTTTTAGGATTCAAATAATTACATAATAGAAATTCATGCAACAAGTGAAAATAGTTCAATAAGTAACAAACCTAAAGCTTTTATTCATTGGGTTTGTGATCCAATAACGTGTGAAGTTAGAATTTATGATCGATTGTAAGTTTTATTTTTTAATTTTATAAATAAAATTTTGTTATTTAGTCAACTAATTTTTAATTCCAAATTTATTTTGATGTTTTAAAAATTAAAGAAAAGTTGGCATTTTTTGACAACAAACATTTTTTTTATTTCGATCTGGTATCCCTAAGAATGTAAACAAATAATAGATTTTCAGAGCTGCAGAGCTGTAATTGGCCACCATTTACAATGTTGTTTGCAAATATTGTTTTACTTTTTAGTAGAACTTGATTGCACTGAAAATCATCAATATCTTTAGTAAAGGCTGATTGATCAATGCCATGCCACATCTTCTTTCAATTTCTATAAAAGCAGAAAAAAGTATTGTGCTGCTGCTTTGTTTTTTAATTAAATGGCACAATTGTAAATAGTTTCAAAAAAGTCATCAAAAATGGTCAAAAATGGTTTTAACTATATTTTTACTTTGGAACTTACTCTAAAAACTTACTCTTAATTGTAAATTTTTAAATCTAAATTTTGCAAAAAAAAAGTAATATATAAATATAGACAATATAGATAATATACAACAAATGTGCATTGCGCGTCTTTTATAAATAACAAGGCTCTCTCCTGTGTGTATATATATATACACGTGTGTATATATATATATATATATATATATATATATATATATATATATACGTGTGTGTGTATATATATATATGTGTGTGTGTGTGTGTATATATATATATATATATATATATATATATATATATATATATATATATATATATATATATATATATATATATATATATATATATATATAATATATATATATATATATATATATATATATATATATATATATATATATATATATATATATGTATATATATATATGTATGTATATATATATATGTATGTATATATATATATATATACATACATACATACATACATACATACATACATACATACATACATACATACATACATACACATATTCTTTCACCGTTTTTTATTTATAAGAAGGATTACAACCAGGGTGATGCAGAAACACTGCAGGCTAATCACTGTGGCCACTAAAGCATATTGGTCGGTGTAATGAAACCATTAGTTACGCAAGCTTGTTGCAACTTAATAAATATTGCTACTAATATTTTTGTTTGATCATGTCTGATAAAAGTTCAGTTCTAAAAGTTAATAGATTAGTTTTCAAAAATTGATAAATTTATAATGCTTAATATAAATATTATATAAAAATTTCCTGTTTTTTTGGAAATGTCATAAGAAACTTTCTGTAAAAATTTTTATCTTAAACCTTAATCCTTAAAATAAGGGACAACCCTTATGTTGAGGTTTGTTATTATTAATGAGCCAAACAAAACCTTCAACAAAACTAGTTTGCTAAATTTTAAACATGTGTACTAAAGTTTTTTTATTTTTAACATTGAAATATAATCAAAAGTTTCTGAGCAGACATGCCAGAAAGGACTAAGGGCAGGGGTAGCAAACCATAACACAAGGGCACTTGTCAAAATATAAACACGATATTTTACTATATATAATATCTAATATAAATGAACCTTTTAATTAACCCTACCGTTCTCCCAAAAATACACAAAAAATATCGCTTTGTCTACTTCTTTTACAGTTGCGAATCGCATGTATGCTGCAATTAACGGGGTGGCCCCTGGTCATGGAAATCATATAAATGTCATGGAATTTTTTTTGGTCATAGAAAAAGTCATGGAGTTCTTAAATTTTCATTGAAAGTCATGGAACTTTTTAAAATGATCTTCATCAATTTCTATTGTGATATTTTTAGGATGCAAAGAAAAGTACTAGTATGTCTAGTCCAAGTCCTTTTTGAAAAAGATTATTTTGTACTGTAAGTTATCAGAAAAGTAAAAGAAAAAGAGTTTTTTTCTGACATGATTTCAGAACTTTCTACCATTTAGTTTTTGTTTTACATGTTTTATAATGACAAAGTTGCAAATGCGTAGTGCATGGCAAGTACTGAATATTTCACTCTACTGATTTATCATAAAAGTTGTGGAATTTCATTTTCAAATTTGAGTGGCCACCCTGAATTAACACTAAAGGTTATAACATGCCATTAAACAGTCTGTTAAATAAATCAAATGTTTTTTTAGCTACTTTCTAGATATCAATAATATATTTCATCCTAAGCCATTTTTAGCTTTACAAGGTGCTAGAACGATTTTAAGTGTATTTGCCGAAATAATTCATTCTACTGTCATTCATTTCAACGAACTGTTTATCAATTTTTTTAATGTTAATTTTGTTGATTTGCCTTTTGTGCATCTGAGCAAACATGTTATTCAGGTGATTGCCACCAGTTTGTGACCTAACCCATGTTTTTACTCTCCTCGTTACACTAAAGCTTCTTTCACATGATGATGTCAATAGAGGCATGGTGTAGTAAAGCTTCATTAATTTGTGTGTTTGTTTTTTGGCGACTTTTGCAGCTGGCAAAAATATCTCCAATTGTTGCCACTCTGCAATAGCATTGTACAGATTAATAATTGGTAGCCCCTTCAACTCAACTTTTAGTTCAAAGATGTCAACATCATTAAAAAGTGGCATTCCAAATAAAAAAAGTTTTTATTTGGAATGCCATTTAGAGTTTTAACTTTAACTTTTTAGAGTTTTAGTAAAATTCAAAAGTGGTTTGCAGTTCAAAAAGTGTTTTTACTGATAAAAGCTGAGATAATAAACTTTTAATTTGTGCTCTTGTTTCTGCAGCAATAGTCTTGTCACTCTGAAGACTGTTCTATATTTTACGGAGTTCTGCAGTCTTCTCCAACACTACTTAATCTGCTTTTGTTCGTGTTGTCCATTGAGTCATTGACAGACTTTAGTCACAATATTCTGTATTCATCTGATTCAGACTCATGCAATATATTCTTTAGGATTTGTTCAAAAAAGGCAACACGCTTTGGATATGCCCCAACAATTGTATAAATTGACTGGAAAATGCTGAGAGAAGCTGACAGTAGTGATGATATTGCATATGTATCCTTAACAATCAGCTTGCTGCAATGTGCCATGCAATGAAAATATTGTGCTTGCTGTCCAAAGGTATTTTTCAGTTTTGCTGCCAAGCTTTTCATAATTAATACTCCATCAAAGCCAATTTCAGCACCTATTGTATATTCCAAATTGCACCTTAAAAGGATATCTTCAATATATGTCACCAAGGCATCTGAAGAAAGACCGTTGGCGCATTCATATATTCCGATAAAATCTTCATTCACTTCATAGTTGTCACTGCAAGTTCTTATATTAAACGGCATTTGTTCCTTCTTAATAATATCTGAGATGTGAACAATGTGTTCCTTTTTTTTCTCTTTTTCTCAAAAATAAAATTACAAACTCCAAAAACTATTGCTTTTTTTGCAAAGCATCAACTAAAAAACATTTGGAATATATATAAAGAGTTCAAGCATAATAACAAAAAGTTGTGATGTATGTTGATAGCAAGAAGAATAAAATTTAATATAACTATGCTATGTTGATAGCAAGAAGAATAAAATTTAATATAACATATTTTATTTAATTTTGAAATGATTTTTGGAAACATATTAGTTCTAAACGTGATTGCGGTTTGCAAAAAATTCTTTAACGTTGGTTTATTTATCTGAGTTGTTTCTGAGTTGCGCCACTGCTGCTTATTGATTCTGGGCCTTTTTTTTCTCTTCAATAAAATATTTTTTAAAGTTTAGTTTAAATCAATTTTAAACTGTTTTCTCTTTAAAAAAATTTGAAATAAAATTAATATATTTCCACCTATACCACCTATTACCAGTTCCAGTTGGTAGATATTGATCATAAAATATTATTAATGAAATGTTGGATAATGAAATGCTTTTAAAAAAATTTACCGTACCTATTTCCTAGAATGGATACATTCATGCTATCCTTGCCACCCCAGCCAAAAGGGCAGGAGTAGCAGTTGCTACCCTAGACTACCCCTTTCCGGCGTACCTGTTTCTGAGCCGATTACACTTAATCCATACAACGCTCGAAATAGCGGCCGATCAACGATCAATGATCGGCTACTTTTAAGAAGATTGACATTTTGATCGCCTAAAATTAAATCTGGCCGATTAAATTTGATCGGCAGTATTTGCTCGTCAAACTTTAATAATAATTAATAGAAAAACATAGATTAATAGAAATACAGAAAGTTATAAACATTAAATTAACATCAAAATTATATTAAAATAAATTATATTTTAAACTTAATTCATTTTAATTTAATAACAATCAACTTATTTAAAATCTAAATAAAATAATTTATTTATATTCTTAATTTGGAAAGAAATGTGAAAAGAAATACGGAAAAACGAACGTTTATTTAAATTTCAAATGAACATTTGTAAAAAATAATAAAAACGATAAAACAAACGATTTAATTAAAATCTAAATTAAATAATTAAATTATTAATTTTATTACGTAAGATTAAAAAAAAAAAAGCATTTTTAATTTTAGTGAAATTTAATAAAAAATTGATCGTCTATAAATGATTTAATCGTCTGGCTTTAAATTTTTTTTATTTCAGCCGATCAATATTGATCGGCAACCGTTGAATAATTAATTCAAGTGCTGTCCATAAATTAGATATAAAATAAAGTTATTCTATTTAAAAACGATATATAACAACTATATGTTTTAAAACAGAAACCATCAAAAGTTCTTACACTGCTTTAAACCAAAAACCACTAAAAAAAATTTATACACTATTAATAATTTAAAACAAAACATTGTCATCATTTTAGAAAGTTTTTGTTAAGCATTGATACAATTGCTTTATATAAAGTGATTATTGTTTCTTAGGTTTAAGCATCCAAACCCTGAAGATCCTAAAGAGGTTCCAGGAGGTTTCCTGTCTGACATTAATGAGGTAGCGTGTTTTTTTTTTTCCTATATATTTTTTTTTTGCTAAATTTTTGTTTAACTTTATCAGAAACTGAAAAGCATTTCTTATTAAAATGTTTTTAGAATTCTCTTCAAGTAATCAAAAATGCTTTTGTTGATGTTTCTGTAAAAGGTGCACCACATTTATCTAAATTCCAATTCGAACGAATAGGTTTTTTTGCAATTGATCCAGACAGCACAGAATCTCTGGTAAGAGAAAATTTAAATTAAATTGTTAAATGAAGATAATAAATTTAACAATATAAAAAAAATTGTAATAGGAATCCTTAAAGGTTGAGTTTAAGGTATGTATGATTAGAAATATGTTGCGTATATTTCTTGTACTTAACGTTGAAGAAATTAATAAACAAGCGTGTAATTGTCCATAAATTACGTCAAGCTCTAGGGGGGAAGGGTTTAGTGGTTTTGTGATGACTCGTACGGGACTTGTTACTTAAGAGTTAAGATGTTGTGAAAAGGAGGAAGGGTGTTGTCGAAAATGGTCGAAAATTGCGTGATAATTTATGGACGACCCCTTTAGTGCTAAAGTTATTGCTTTAAAACTCTTATTACTATTCTAGAACATTTGACCATTACGTTTTTTACTGTTGCTTTACTGAAATTGTGCCAAATTAAGTTTTATAGTGAACTGATTATGATAAGAAAAGCTGTTATAATGAGTTCACTATAAAACTTAATTTTATATAAAAAAAAGAAGCTATAATAATGAGTTCACTATAAAACTTAATATATATATTTTATTATAATTATATAAATTATGTATATTATAATAATTATGTAATTTATATATATTTTAAACTATATATATATATTTTTTAGATTGTCTTTAACAGAACATTAGCACTTAAAGAAGACTCGTCCAAATGCTAGTTTTAGTTTTAAAGAATTTTATGTTTTTAGAGTTTTAGTAAATATCAAGCTATTGATACATTGTTTTTTATTTTTTCTTTTAAAGTATTTTATTGTTAAATTGTGCACATATATGTCGAGCGATTGTTATCCTTTATCTTGCTGACAGTTAGTCTTTTTTTTTTTATATTCACGCTACTTAGCAACTAATATATTTGTTTCTATCATTAAATATGCATGCATCATCAAACAACGCTAATATGCACAATTTTCTATTTCCGGCTTAAGGTAATTTTTTATTTTTAGTAGCTATCAAAAGTAAATTTTGTTACATTGTCCATATTTGTTATTTAGACCATGTTTAAAATATTTAAAAAAGTTGAAGTTAATTGATCGAGTTTTATTTATTCTTTTCTTTATAGTTTCTTTTAGTTTAGGTTCTTTTTAAAAGTTTTTTTTTCTTTACAAACTATTAAAAATATAAGACGTGAAATGAATTTGTTTGTAGCGGGGCTAAGTGAATCGTGGCACAGTAAATTGATTGACTTGCTGTACTCTATTAACAATTTTATACATTTCTTAACAAAAAAAATTTAACGAATATATTCAAAACTATCTGTATATTTGCGAAAAATACCGTGTTCGATCTCGGTCACGTTCGCGCTTATCTTATTTTTCTATGCAACAAATCTTTTTTTTTTTTCTTTTTTTTTTTTTGTCAAAGTTTTGTATTTTGAAGTTGTAAGATAAAAAAAGGGTTCTAATAAAAGATTAGTAGGCTTCGTCTATAGTGGCTTCTTCTGCTATGGTAAGGTAAACTTAATAAAATAGGTAAAGGAAATTGAGGTCCCCTATTTACGGTGTGCATTTTATAGACCTAGAGTGCATTTTATAGACACTATGATGGTACACGGAGTTTTGACATTAGGAATGCTCGTATTATAAGTTGTCATCTTTTTTTATGAAGGTGATACCTCAGGAAAAAAACTAAAATCCAGATTCTAAGATAAAACTCATTTTCACTATAATATATTACATTTATGTATATCATAGTGAAAATGAGTATTATATATATATATATATATATATAATATATATTTAAACTTTTTTTTTTTAATTGGAAAAAACAATATATATATATATATATATATATATTGTTTTTTCCAATTAAAAAAAAAAGTTTAAATATTAACTACTCATAATGGCGGAAATTTACCCTAGAATAGGGGCTAAAAAGCGAAAACTTAAAACCGTAAGTTATAGTTTTCAAATAAAGTTGAACCTTTGCACCCTTGTTCTGATGATAGATTTGCTCCATTTAACCGTTTAATTTTTTGCCTAAATGGTTTCTTCAGATTTTAATGAATTTTTTATAAATATTTAGAAAAATTTGGTGCTTTTTATTTTTAAATTCTTTCTCTAGGAAAAAGTAGAAAACATTGTAAAAAAACCTTTTGGTTAAATAATTCTTTAATATGTAATGAACTCAGAAGCTATATTATTAGATGAGATATCATGTTTTGAAATTTAGAGTTTTCACAAAAATCTAGAAAATTAAAAAACTCTAGAAAATTAAAGGCAAAGACAAAACTTAAAAAAATAAATAACATTTTATAAACTTAGATAATTTCACCAGTTATATAAAAATTCATTCGTTCTTCTTTGTCTAAAATGTATTCCTCTACGTCTCTTTCGTTGGTTTTTTATTTCAATCAAATCTTTCCGCAACATTTTTCTTACACGATTAACATCTTGTTTAACTGATTTTTTTTAGGGTAAACTTTCCAAGTAAGTAAAATGCTGTGAAAACATTAGTAATACCAGTACAACCTTCATTAATTGTAAAACAGCAGAATAAACTCCCATTTCAGTCAGGGTTAGGGTCAGAGTTTAGGTTTAGGGTTAGCCTAACCCTAACGGAAGTGGAAAATATATTTATTTGACATTCGATTCAGTTCAATTCCTATTCCATTTTCAGCAATAAAAAGCAAGATATACGGAGTAATACCTGTTGCCAAGGTGTTCCTATGGACTAAATCTTCATACTGACTTGTAATAAAATCTCAAAAACACTATTTTAGCACATAAAAACATCTAAAACCTATATATTATTTAAAAGAGCATTAGGTTATGGTAAAATTTTAATTCAAAATATTTTGCGGCACACAAAATAATTTGTGTGATTCATTCTTTTTTACTTTATTTATATTAATTTAAAAAAATTCAAGGAGCTGTTGAGTAAAGTTTGTGCATGTCCCACCTGCAACAACAGAGATATAAATTTTTGTCACGAAGGTTCCAAACACTCAGTGTAAATTAAACCGTGCCCAGCGGAATCTACTGGTGCGATCAAAATATTTTCTTTATCTATCAAAAAATCCAGTAATAGCTACTCCCATTACATTGGTGATGGTGATACTAAATCTTTTAAAAAAATCAAAAAATCAAAGCCGTGTGATGAAGATTTAGAACCGATAAAATCTGAATGCGTAGTTAATGTTCGAAAGAAACTCGATACGAGACTCTTGTTCTTATGAAAGTTAAAACCTTATCAGATGGCAAAGAACTCAGCGGTAAAAAAAAGTTAACTGATAAAATAGTTAACAAAATGCAAGACTATTTTGGCATGACTACTGGCCGAAATTCTGTTACTAGTTACGATGGTAACAAAAGTACTGCTTTCTACTTGATGATAAAAAGAGAACTGGCAATGTTGTAGCGCTGTTCAGATATTGAAGATTCTAAAATCCGTCACCAGTTTTGTCCCCGCACTGATGATAGTTGGTATAATTACTGTAAAAATATTACACAATACAAACATCACTTAGTTGACCGATTGCACTAAATCTGCAATCTATCCTATTTTCAACGATTTATGTAATGATGATCTTTTGAGTCGCTGAGATGGATCCGCTCAAAACTCAAATGAGACTTTGAATCAAACAGTATTAAAAAGATGTCCAAAAGTTACATTTGTTTTAGAAATTGGAGTTGCATCTGCAATAATAAATTTTAATGATATCTGGGCTAGTGCAATTTTTTGATCGGAACTCTTTTGATAAGATCGGAATTCTTTTGGAGCAAAAACAATAATAATTGCATTTTGAGTGTATAATGAAGCTATACACTCAAAGATTTAACGAGATATCAATCACTAAGCACTGAACTATTTATTTGAAACAAAAAAGTTAAAAGAATCTTCGTCTTTTTTAAACAGTTTATCAGTTTTGAAAACTTTTGCTTTAGGCACTAGTTAAGTAAATATTGTTGGCAAAAGTTGTAATGGCACACACCTCTACTCGCGCCGGCCCTGCTCATACTGATAACAATTAATTATGTTTTGCTTTTTAAAGAATTTTTGAATTTTTGCTGACTCATCAAAAAAAAAATTTGTTTGTTTGTTTCTATTATTTATTTTTATGATGGCTGTTGTATGTATTTATTTCAGTAGCAAACAACAAATATTAAAAACATTCTTTTTTTCACCACCTTAATAAAACACTTAACTTTATCAACAAAATGTCAAGCTTATTGATTATTGAAGTCTATTTCGTCTTGATTTTGTATTCGTTAATAATTTTGTATTGGTTTCAGATAATCATAAAACAAACTCTTTTTCTTTTGATAAATCTATTAAAATGATTTATTAAAAAGAAAAAGAAGTTGTGATGTTGGCTATGTCTTCTCACTGCTGTTATTAAGTAGACTCTTTAGACAAAACTGTGGGTCTTTAAAATAACTCTATAACTAAGGTGTAAGAGCCTTCTATAGTGAATATATACTGTTCATGCAAACCCATAACAATTTGTATCAGTTTAACCCAGGTTGCTTAAATATAGTTTCAATTTACAAAAAATTTTTTATTCAATCCAGTAACTTTTTATAATAAAAACTACTTAGTTTAGTTTAGTTTTGTTTGTTAGTTTATTTCGCCGTTAAAAATATTTACAAAGTACAACAATATAAAAAGTACAATTGGCTGGAGCAAGAAGAAGGCATAAAATAGCCTTATCACCGAGCCCCAATAGTAACGCAAATAACTATCCGTAATATACAATAATCCGTAATATATAAGCAAAAGTATTTAAAAAAAGACAATTTAAAATGTTAAGAAACAAAGTTAAAAAGAAGGAAAAAAAAAAAAAAAAATTAAAATAATTGAAGAAAAATAAAAAGAAATGATTAAAATATAGTAATAAAAATGACAAATATTTTCTGTTTTTGGTTATAAATTGGATGTGATTCGACATATATATTTGTATATATTATTTTCTTTCAAAATAATTCAAAATTCAAATAAAAATTCTGCTCCAATATTATAAAATATATCAAGAAAATTGTAGGTAACTTTAAGAGAATATATATATTCAATGAAAGTATGATAAAGACATTGAAATTCTTAGTATTGTTAAATGGTCTAGATTTTTAAATTTATGGTGCTAATTTAGTTTAATAAATTTTAAAGCTTTAAAAGTGACATTGAAGATCTGCTTTATTAAATCCGTAAGTACTAAATAACGTCTTAATTTAGATTTGAATTGCGGAAGTGTTTTTTCTTTAATATTAACAATATGCTGAAAGTTTTTCCGCAAAATTGGACCCCTGTACTGAATAGAATAAGAACATAAGTTTAGATTATACTTTTGAGTTACAAAGTTATTTTCTGAGAACTTGGTGGGGTATTTATGGCTTACTTCTCTAAAATAAGGATAGAATATCTCTGGAGACAGTCCATGTTTTATTTGATACATGAACTGTATGATGAGGAATATGTTAATTTTAAACACATTTAATGCATTGAGTTTACGTAAAAGTGGCTCACAAGGCACAGATCTTTTTACTCCAAATACAATTCTACATGCATGTTTTTGTTTAGTATAAATTTTCTTTAACTTAGCGTAGCTGTTGCTTGCCCATACGATATTGCCGTAAGTTAGATAGCTATGTATGAAGGAAAAATATAAACTTTTTAGAGATCTTATATCCAAAAATGGTTTTGCTTTATACATCATTGCAATGTTTATCGAAAGTTTTCTTTCAAGAGTGTTTATATGTTTCCTCCATGTTAAATTTTCGTCT